TGTGGGTTTTGTTTTCCCTCTAAATCCTCAGGACAGAAAAGGCTCAGCATGTGCGGGCTTCTCCAGCGCGTCGCCAGCACTTCCCGGGATCAAGGAAACTCCCATTGATGCGATCGTGTTGGGTTTTTTCACCCCCCCCACCTCTTCCCCTCCCCTGTTCGCCCGCAGTCACGATCTCCTGCCGTTGGAAGGGGTCATCGGTAATTTTTGAATCGTCCCTTGCGTACTCCCAATATGGCGTAAGCGGGATCAGGAGCGCTGGTGTTTGCTTACTCAAATGCCGTACGCGTGCATTCGCCGTAGCGCTCGCCCTGGCGTCTTCCGAACGCGCAGCGCAAGCCAGTCGGAGGCGCGCGGCTCCGTCGTGCAGAGCGAGACCCCCCCCCCCCGTGGCAGTTTCCCTGGCTGTAAATTATTAATAACTTAATGCACGAAAAAAAAAAACAACAACAACTTGAAGCCGGGCTAATTATGAAAATGGCTTGGTGCATTAGTGCCACGAGACGCCCCCGCCCCCCCTGTATTTCTATCGTAATGTACACCTTTCGTATCGACTTTGTGAAAAATAGAGATGGTTCATAAATTCACTCTACATATGTTTGTCTATTAGATATAAAGATGGCAATATAGGCATTCTTCAGAAAGGCTTTGGTGTATCTGCTTGTATTTATAATAATAATAATTGCTTACACTTATATAGTGCTTTTCTGGACACTCCACTCAAAGCGCTTTACAGGTAATGGGGATCCCCTCCACCACCACCAGTGTGCAGCCGCACCTGGATGATGCGACGGCAGCCATAGTGCGCCAGAATGCTCCCCACACATCAGATATCAGTGGAGAGGAGAGCTGAGTAATGTAGCCAATTCATAGAGGGGGGTTATTTATTTGGTGTCTGTGTCTTGTTCCTGTTGCATTTTCTACTACAGTGCCAATTTTGGTATCTCCTGTCTTACGGTTTTCATTTGTTTTAACTATGCTTTTCTATTTTTCCTGTAAGGCGCTTTGAAAAGAGCCTTTAAAAGGCGCAATATAAAATAAAGCTTTAATACTCTTATTCGTGGATATACATCATTTCCAGAAAAATTAACAGTCACATGAAAACGCAAACATCTAAAACACGAGTGAACATTTCTATTAACATTATTGAACGAGTTTATTTCTCAGTGTATAATTGTTCTGTCTTTAACGTTTAGCTGAAATAACGTCGTCCCAGCCCATTCAAAAATGCGTGATGCCACAGTGACTGGTTTTTGCATGTAAAGTTATTAAGTTATCAATAAAGTTATTGAAACCGGAAAAACAACACGGCTCCTCAAGCGAGGCGCAGGCGCAGTGGGTCTGGCGGCGATTGAGCGCTTTCAGGGGGTTGCTAAGCGGGACACGGCACTTGCTGTTGACACAACTGTAACTGATTGTCCTGTGTCCGATCAGTTTGGAAAACACGTTGGACGATCCACTAATGAGAGAAGATGCCTCGGGAAATCATCACCCTTCAGCTGGGACAGTGTGGGAACCAGAGTGAGTGTCGCAGGACCCTTGGGGTTCTTTCAGTTAATGTAAATGTATGACTCTCGTCTTTCAGTTATAACTAGGCCCAGCAGTGTAATTTACATGTCAGTGTAGTCTTAATGGAGATGACGGAGTTGGGATTTGAAGTTAACGATTAAAGAAGCTTGCATATTTTGTATAAAATATTTTATTTCAAGTTTCAATGCATTACTAATGGTATTATATAGCCTGCAAATGAAAAACGGTTATTTAAGGGTACTGTGGGTGTTGTTAAACACCAGATGCACGAAGCTTCCGATTTCCACTAAAAAGCCAAATTTCCAGCTGGGTCATAGTTTGGAAAAAGGTTACATCCAGTTTTGATCGACTGAGATGCATCCGCATTTATCGTTATGTAATGTCAGATTTATTGCAACGCTTTGTTTTTTAGCTGTGACATGCATGCGATGTGATAAGCAGGAGATGAAAAGAGCAGGGAAACGTGCTTAGCTATTCTTCAGTTATTTTTGATTTACAGAGTAGTACATAATTAACATTTCCAAAGGTCTTCAGTGATGGTTCATAGCGTTCACCAATAATGAATAGACAATACATATTTACTTCTGTTATGTTTTCAAAATATCGATGTGTCATTTATTTGCTGCTCTTCCTTATGTTTTGCTTATTGAGTGATGTATTAATTCCTAGTGCTGGGTGTATTTAATAAGAGCAGTCCTAAAGACTAAAAAGAATAGTACAAAAATCTATAGTGAAATATTATTGCCTAAACAACCTCTGGTTTATCTCTCTGACTCTGCGCAAGGGTAACTCAGTTTTTGGAACATGTCTGAGTTTTCTATTATAAAGCAGCTAATTTAAGGTAAAGAGATTGTGCCTCGTGTCATTGTAACATTACAGTAGTGGAAAAATAAGATAAGATCACTTTATTGGCCATATACAAGTTCTTGTATTAGGAATTTCTTTTCGAACACCCCAGCTTGCTCTCCATGAGACGCACAGACAGGGAGAGAAGCTTGGGGTCAGAGCACAGGGTCAGCCATTTATACAGCACCCCTGGAGCAGTTGGGGTGAAGGGCTTTGCTCAGGGGCCCAACAGGGTAGGATTCCTCTAATGCATTGCTATATCATCCCCTCTTTAAATATGGGAATTGTCAGTATTTTTACTGTCAAGAGCCAAATTCTTCTCTTGTCACCTAGGGGCTCTTTGAACTTGTCATACAGCCCAACACATTTACTAGCTTTTTAATTTGTAAGAAAAATAACGTGTCCTCAAGCAGTGTTGATTTTCTCTTTTCTGTCCCAAGGGGCATGTCCTTATGCTGAATGTCATTAAAACATGACAGATGACTGGTGGAGCCAGTGGTGTTTGTTGTGTTAGTTTGCCTCCCAGTATAAGTCATCGTACTTAAAGTGGTGCTGAAGGCAGCTATGTAAGTGCACTTATTTCCATCACTACTCCAGAGGTGTGTGCTGTTGTCACTGCAGGGTAGGAGCCTACTGTGTATTTCTCTGCTGGGTTGTGTGACCTCAGTGCTTGCTCGTGTGCTTTCTGCAGTTGGTTTTGAGTTCTGGAAGCAGCTCTGTGCAGAGCATGGTATCAGTCCTGAGGGAATCGTGGAGGAGTTCGCCACAGAAGGCACTGACCGAAAGGATGTTTTCTTCTACCAGGTAAAGAACGCCTACCAAGGACACATAGTAATACAGTGCTTAAGTCAGAATCTGTCTACTGTTAGGACTGTAAAGTTTCGTTCTGCACTCCTACAGTATAGAAAAAATATACAGTCAATGGAAAAGTAGTATGTCTCTCATTACTGTTCCATGAGTAGCCTTTAGGTGGTGCAATTGAGTAATTCTTGATTGGTGTCATGATTATGTTTTGTTTTTTTTTGTAAGTGCTGAAGTTGCAGAAATAATTCTACTTATGAAAGGTTTTTTAACTTCCATCTTTCAGCGCTGACTGCAAAAAGCGCAGCACCTGTGAAAACTTAAGTGGATTTTTCTCCACCCCCTTTGCTTTTTAAGTGACTGCTCTCTGAGAGCAAGAAGTAGAGTTTATTTCTCTGTTGTATGTCTGCACTAATCGTTTCTTGAACACAAAACAGATACTCCAGTAAACTCACCCGAGTGATTTATAATGTGGTTTAAAGTTTATTGATGGCAGTCTCACCAGAGCTGTTTTATGCATGAGCAATTATTACCAAGACCTCCTGGGAAAAACTAAGGTTGCTGCTGGAAGCGGTGTTAGTGGGGCCAGCAGGGGGCGCTCACCCTGCGGTCTATGTGGGTCCTAATTCCCCAGTATAGTGACGGGGACACTATACTGTAAAAAGGTGCCGTCCTCCGGATGAGACGTAAAACCGAGGTCCTGACTCTCTGTGGTAATTAAAAATCCCAGGACGTTGCTCGAAAAGAGTAGGGGTGTAACCCCGGTGTCCTGGCCAAATTTCCCATTGGCCCTTACCAATCATGGCCTCCTAATAATCCCCATCTATGGATTGGCTTCATTACTCTGCTCTCCTCCCCACTGAGAGCTGATGTGTGGGGAGCGTTCTGGCGCACTATGGCTGCCGTTGCATCATCCAGGTGGGGCTGCACATAGGTGGTGGTGGGGAGTTCCCATTACCTGTAAAGCGCTTTGAGTGGAGTGTCCAGAAAAGCGCTATATAAGTGTAAGCAATTATTATTATTATTAAGCTCTTTGTTTCCATGCCACTGCCAGGCAGACGATGAGCACTACATCCCTCGGGCTGTGCTACTGGACCTGGAGCCCCGAGTCATTCACTCCATTCTCAACTCCCCCTACGCCAATCTGTACAACCCCGAAAACATCTACCTCTCCGAGCACGGAGGGGGGGCTGGCAACAACTGGGCCAGTGGATTTTCTCAGGTACCGTCATGTGGGAATGCAGTTGAAAACACCCACAGAAATGTAGGAGTTGTCAAGTGGAAGAACGTGAAACATCCAAACTTTCACGATTTTCACTTTTCGATTTGCTACAAGTGTTCTTTTAATTCAAGGGCACAAGGAAGCAGATTTTTAGTTAATGCTTTCAAAGAATAAATATAGAATATAACGATGTAAAAAACACCTGCCCTATACAAAAATGCTTAATTTTAGTTAATACAGCTTGTCAGTTACAGGACTTTGTTTTAATAATCTGAAATCCTATGTTACTAGAGACTGAGTACATCGGCAGATGTTTCTTTTAATTTGTTCATGATAGATCAAGTATATCAATTTAGAGATGTTCTACAGCAAATCTGTAAGATTTAATCTCTGTGAATCTTTAATGTACGTAAGTATAGGTTAAAGACAAAAATCTAATTTCAGGGTGAAAAAATTCATGAAGATATCTTTGACATCATAGACAGAGAGGCCGATGGAAGTGACAGTTTAGAGGTAAGCCATAAAAAAGGTCTGTGATTTTCTTTGCTGGAAATTTCAGATCACTTGTTTATGAAATCATTTTTTCATTTTCACAAAGCAGTGTCCTTCCATGTTGGTTGGTGACGAATACTTACAACCTGTTCCGCTACATCCAGTTATAAAAAAATAAAATAAAGGTTTATTCCTCTTTCTTCAGAAGGACTTTCTGAGCTTGAGGGATGTGGATGTTGTGTTGGATCGTTTGCCAAGAACATAATTAAACATTTCCTGATTGCCTCCATATGCCTTTGACGTGTAAAACAACAATTTTATGGTAGCAGCACAGCAAAAGCTAGCATGCTTTTTCACTATGTTTAAAAGGGGCCATGCCTAACAGAACCTTAAAACATGAATCCATCAAAGCTCAGCTTGCAGATGTTATCACTGATGAAAAGGCTGCCATTCAGTATATTATGGCACCTTTGTTTTTCGCTGCCACAAAACTGCTAGACTTTAAAACAACACCAGTGGTATGCTCTGTTGCCCAATATAGACTTGCACAACCATTTGCGTTTCTTTTTATAACCCTTTAATATTTTCTTGTGTGTGCAAGCTGGGCTGTGGGGCGTGGCAGGAGGGATGTTGGTGGTGATTTTGGACTAGAGTGTGTGCGTTATAGGACCATCTGGATTACAGCACAGTAAGGCCACTATTTGTGGGGAGGAGCAGACTGTCTCTGGAACACTTAAACAGTTCCAGAGAACTGTTTAGGCACATGTGGGATATAGGCAATTGCTCTCTTGTGAGGCTTTATCCTTGATGCCCATGTTTGAAAGTGAGTGAGATCTCACTCTTAAGAAATGAACAGGGATTTTTTGATTAGTGCACAGGGTTTCAAGTGAAGAAGTGTTTCCTTTTTGGGAAAGGGGATGCAATTTAATATTTGTGTATGTGTCTGTACCCTGACAGCAGGAACAGTCATCTGTCCATTTGAATTGTATTGTGGCAGAAAGTTACAAGCCTTCTGCTGTGCTATCTGGTTAAGATTGGTATGTCTTGATATTGCAGGGCTTTGTTCTGTGCCACTCTATTGCCGGTGGAACAGGTTCAGGACTGGGCTCGTATCTGCTGGAGAAGTTAAATGACAGGTGTGTACTCAATGGCATGGAATAGGATTGTGCTAAGGCACAGCTATTACATTTCAGAGTTAGGGTTTTATAAGTATTAACCTGTATCTGTGTCTTTCTTCTTCTGTGACTAAAGTTCTCTGGTACTAATGGTGCTGTTATATTACCGGTAGTGTTTTTTTTGTCGTGATATTTTCGCAAGAGTAAATAGCTATACTCTTGCAATGGGGTGTAGTGAAATAAAAAAATAAAGATTTTTTTTTAATCAGGAACATGCTAAGGAGGTAAAATAAAATGATTTTGTATCTTTTCATCTGAGAAGAGATAGTATTGGAAACCAACCCTCTGTGGAATTTATTTTTCAAACCTTGAAGGTGTTGCCATGTTCTAAAATTTTAAAATCTTATTACTTTATGTCCAATTTTTTAGGTTTCATGTATATCTAATCCAGGACTTTGTACTATAGTGTATTTAAGTTCTGAGATTACTACCTTGGCAATATTTAGCATAATGAAATAATGCTAAATAATAATAATGAAAGACAACATGTATGTTACTTATTTTACATGTTGGATTTTTCAAGGAACTTTTTATTGGAGCTACTGTATAGCTCACATTTCTCTTTCTCTGCCACATTGACTGCTAGGTATCCCAAGAAGCTGGTTCAGACCTACTCTGTGTTTCCAAACCAGGATGAGATGAGTGACGTTGTTGTCCAACCATATAACTCTCTGCTTACGCTGAAAAGACTGACTCAGAATGCAGACTGTGTGGTAAGCAGAGGTCTTCTTGTGAACTAGAGCATGTTTACACAATCTGGTTATAAGACACTGAATATGGGATGGTACATTTTGGCAGCCCCCTGCAAAATATGATAACATTTTCATTATGTAGGTTGACTAGACTGAAGGTCTTTCTAGCGTTAACATAGACCTGCTGCTCTCGGCAGCCATCTGGTGAAAGAGATATATTGCTCTATGAGGTCTTGGTCCTTTTTTCAAGTTTCTTAAATTTGTTTTTTGGATGCTTCCTCATGATTTGGTAATGTTCACATTTGCTGGCTACAATTCACCACCTTTTCTAAAGCAGCATTTTTTTATATTTCAACGCTTCACGTTGAGTCAAGTTGCAGAGTCTAGGTCATTCAAGGTGGAGCAAGTGGAGTGCGTGCTGTGCATCACAGAGCCAGAGTGAGGACAATAGCCGTCTGTAAGGCAGGACTGTGCTGCTCATTTGTTAGGCAGTTGCTTGATGGATTTATTTAACACACAAGCAGCCTTTTCTTTAAGGGTCTGTAAATATCGCATTCCCGACGTCAGTGTGCTGATTACTGGTTCCTAGAATGCAAATTCCAAAATAAGTGGCGGAAAATGCATTTTATCTAAACAGTGAACAGGCATGGGACTTCATCTGTAATTATTTCGAATTAGTGACAAATAAAATTCTACGTGCTCTCCTGGTACCAGAACAGATTGGCCTTGAGCACAATGGTTACAAAAGGGATATTGTTTATAATAGTTGATACCTCCAGCTGTAGGGTTGTGGTTAGAATCCAAATCCTTATTTCACTCTTTCTGTGCCTGTGCTGCCTGTGTCTCTCCTTGCCTCTTTCTTTCTCTAGGTGGTGCTAGATAACACAGCTCTGAACCGCATAGCCACTGACAGACTGCATATTCAGAACCCTTCCTTCTCTCAGATCAACCAGCTGGTAAGGAGCTGCTGCAGGCACTGGGCAGGTTTCCTCCCTCGTTGCATCATGACTGAGGAAGGGCAGCAAACTTTGGCTGTCACGTAACTGCTCATTGCAGAGCCCACATTAAAGTGGTGAAGAAGTAACCCGTGAATTTCAGTGTGGAATTTTATGGTTCATAATTATAGTTTAAGGGGGTGTAATTCTAAATATTGCCTCTGTTTGGATAATGTCAGATAAGAAAAGGAATGTGCTGAGTTTTATTCTTTATAGCCAATGTATTACAATATCTTGTCTAACCAAATCCTGAGGCCATGAAGTGAAAGCTCAGATGTTTTTCTTACATTTTGAGAAAATGAGCGTTTGGTGAAAGGAACCTTTTCCAAAACTAAAATCTGGGACACTTATTTGATTGTGGTATCTGGATAACCTGTTAGAATAGATTAACACCTAATTTCTGTTCCTGTAAGAATCTTACTTGTCACCCTAAATCTCCTCACTCGTTTAGAAAACTGTCACAAACCCGTTCTCTTCCATGTCCTGTGCAGAAATGTTCATTTTGTAGCTATTGCTACAAGCTTTAAACAATAAGATGACTGTGTGGCTTAATTCTTAACAACGACAATTGAAGGGACTTGCTATTAACAACTCGGCTAAGCAAGAAGTCACAGGATTCTCATATTAGATCCTCATATTTGTCACTTGTATTCAGAACCTTTGCTTGTGTTCTCATGCATTAAATTGGTGTAGTCATGTGGTGTGTTAAGGTCGTCTCAGGACAAGTTGCAATCCATTGCTAAATGTCCCTTTCTTTGTCCACTTGCCAGTTTTCATCATGTTACAAA